ATGACAGGATTACACCTACTGAATTCATTTATTTTGTGTCTCATTTATCGATAACAGTAAAATGTATTAACTTTTTTTAGATGCATGATAAATTGATATTCATCATACAGGACCTGGAAATAAAAAATGAATTGAAAAAACCTAATCATGAATCTGCGATTGATGGTATTGAAAGTATTGAAGAGGAATATTCATAGATATAATCATTTTATTCGATTTGAGAGATAATATAATTTCTCAATTTCAGAGGATTTTCATTTTTCATGCTCTCTTTTTGAATGTTCAACAGATATAATTCAATGTTCGACGTGACAAATAGACAGGAACGTTGTTGTTTCCTGTTGAATATTCAGAATAATATTATGTGCATATCTGTACATGAAGTAGAATGCAAATTCTCTACTTCAGAATATTTAATAATAATAATAATAATAATAATAATATGCCTTTATTCACACGATTGATATGGTAATAACAATAAACAAAAATAAATCCTAAATTAATAACATAATCATATGAAAGGGCGGAATTCAGTTACCCATATCCAAAGACACTGGTATCTGCTCTTCCATTCAACCCCATAATAATCAAGTACAGTATGTTCACGAATTAAAAACATATACTTATCTCAACAAAATGTATACGAAATTAGCAGTAGACTTAACAAGAATTGATAGTTTACTGTTCATATATTAGTTACTTATATAAATCAAGAACATTAGCATGGTTCTATGACAAAAAGCTGAAGAAAATTAAAGCTTAAGATAATAGAGAAAAAAAAATAAAAAATAAAGGAAAATACAAAACAAAAAAGCATGAATTGTGACTATAAGACAAATAATAGACAAACAAGGAAATGGAGGCAACCAGGGAGCCTGCGTAAATAGGTTTTCATTCGACATCTAATTGCAATTTTCATTATCTAATTTCCTCCACTTAGCGACAGAATGTTCACTCAATAGACAATCGACCTTCGAATATGATTTTTCTTACTGAACTTTTGAATTTAATTTTATTCATAGATTTCAGCGTGTCCGGAATAGCGTTGTAGATTTTGGAAGATATATACGTGTACGAGCGTTTGAAAAGTGAGGTGTGATATTTTGGTGGAGTCAGGCGAGATCGATATCTAGTGTTAATCGTATGAACGTCTTCTCTGAATGATAGTTTTTTGAATAAATAAATGGGTACCCTGGAGTGAATGACATCGTGGCAAAAACAACTCATATGCAGGAGCCACCTCTGCTTCATAGTTAGCCAATTGGAATTTTTTATTCTGTGAGAAATGGCGTTGCGTTTTCTTACACCATAAAGGAACCGTGCACAGGCATTCTGTACATACTGTATGCGATTTTGATCGTGTTTTGTCAAGCATGGAAAATATACAATATTCGCGTAATTGAAATGGCTGAGGACAAGGGAGTCACATAAAATTTTCTTCGTTTTAGTATCGAGTATTTTGGAGAAATTATAGATAAGTTTGAGATTGCAATAAGCCGTTCTAATAATCTTTGTTACGTGGTCTCTAAATCTCAAGTCACTATCTATAATTACTCCCAAATTTCTTGCCGAATCAACAATATCCAAAGGCTCAGAGTCAATAGAAATATTAATTGTTTCTCGAAGTTGGTTTCGGTAGTTCTTATTGCCAAAAATCAGTAACTTAGACTTGGTGGGATTTATAAGCAGACAATGATCTTTCGATGCCTTGGATAGGTTATTAAGATCTTCATTAATGACCGTGCAAGCATTTTCTATATCTGTAGGGCTGAACGAGTGATAAATTTGGGTATCATCTGCATAATAATGGGACTTGCAATGCGACAAAAACGATGACAAATTTGAAGTATACATTGTAAATAGTAAAGGCCCCAGAATAGATCCTTGGGGGACACCAGTAGTGAGATGTAAGGGATCAGAGTAATTATCTTCAATTTTCACCATCTGTATACGGTTGGCTAAATAATTTTCAATGAGTGATGATGCGCTATTGGTGAAGCCGTTGTAATGCAATATTGATAGAAGAAGCTTATGATTTATACGATCGAATGCTTTCGAATAATCAAGTAAAACAAGTGTTGCCATGTTATTTTCATCAAGTGCAGAAAACAAGTCATCAGTAACATTCAGGAGTGCTGAAGTACAGCTGTGATTAGGTCGAAAACCAGATTGTTGTTCAGGATAAAGGTTATGATAATCAAGATATTCTCTAATTTGAACGTTCATTATTTTTTCCAGTACTTTAGAGAGCACAGGTAATATGCTAATAGGCCTAAGGTCCTTCAGCTCTTTAGGCTTATTGATTTTTGGAATAGGTAGTATGTACGCTACTTTCCAGTGGTCCGGGAAAATTGATTTCTCAATGCAAGAGTTAACTATATGAGTGAGGTATATAAGAATATGAGGACAGCAAAGTAGTATCATTTTCAGATTGAGATTGTCTGCCCCTGTTGCATTTGATTTAATGTCAAATAGGTGTTTTTTTACAGTAGCAGTATCAACTGTTCTGAAATAAAAAGTGCCTGACTGCGGTTTTATATTATTGTCGTAGAATCTAAGTGCATTTTCATTAGGTACATTATTTTCTCGCGATGTCTCTATCAAGTGTCTATTGATCAAATTTACGTCTGATAATTCGTTTGGTAAATCGGAACTGTTTTGCTTAGGTCGAATATTCAATTGTTTCAAAGTTTTCCATAAGGTTTTACTTTCATTCTTTCGTGCAATATCAGAAAAATAATACTTTTTTTCACGATTCACGGCAGCGTTACAGTAATTCCTCATATCTTTGTAAGACACCCAGTCACATTTGCTTTTAGTTCTTTTGAATTTTGCTAGAGCATTGTCTTTCAGTTTAATGATTTCTTTTATATTAGGAGTGAGCCATGGTGCATATTTTTTCGTTATTCTGGCATTTATAATGGGTGCATGATCATCAAAGAGATCAAGAAGTGAATTATTGAGTATAGAAAGCTTCATGTTTATATCATCTTCATACAGAATTTTGTTGAAATCAATTTTTTGCAAGTCTGATTGAAATGCTTCCAAGTTAATATGATCATAGTTTCTGTAGGATCGAAATTTGGGTTCCGATTTGTTGATATTTAGATCCACTGTACAGCTGATGAAGCTGTGGTCAGATAAATTCAAGAGATCGAATACTTTACATTCTATAACATCAATATGCTCGGGACACAAAAATAGATCCAGTAGGGTTGCAGTATTCGGACCGATCCTGGTAGGTTCATATTTCGTTTTCAAATCCTTATCGTGTGTGTTCAATAGATATAATCCAATGTTCGTCGTGGCATATAGCCAGGAAAGTAGTTGTTTTCTGTTGCATATACCGAGAAATAATTGATATTTTCGTCACACAGAGGATGCGACTTGTCAATGTATTTCTTTATATATATACCCAGTTTTTTATGTTTATGATTATATCTGAGAATATTCCTTTTCAATGAAATGCATCCCAATTCTTACAAAATCACACTTACACTTAATTCAATGAAAACTAGTTTACAGAAGCTAACTTTCACTTTCAGTAGGACAGGTTTGCACACAAACATTGCTGAGAATTGAAATTGATAGATTTGACTAGGGTTTCATTAGATTATTCTTTCAAGTTTTTTGGAAAAAATAAATTCATTTTTTTTCTCAATTGCAGTTCTGCTTGGTAAATAGGTTCATCAGGTTATTCATTCAATTGACTCTGTTTAGATGAGGAATAAAACCAAGTCATAGAATTGTTTTTGCAACCTGTAACAGCACACACATGACCACTTCTGAGTTTTTTTTGAGCACTCATGTCTACAATTACAGATGGAGCAGATAAAGAATCTACTGGATTCTTATTCACAACCAAATAAGGTAGGCATCAGAACTTATTCGAACAGTACAACCCAAACAACAATACAACACAGAAAAAATTGAATATGTATTTAAATATCTGAATATTTCACACTATCATTCCACAGCTGAGAATTCGATAAACATGTAAAGAAGTAACCCAGAAAGATGGCCGACTACCTGCGCCGTTCAAATGCGCGAACCCACTCTCGCTCGAGAGATACTGTTCTGATTACAAAGAGAGAAATTCAAAGTCATTACCACAACTAATTCATAAAATGAACGACAATGGTAGATTACGAGAGAAAAACAACTACTTTCCTGGCTATATGCCACGCAGAACATTGCATTACATCCTCCCGAAACCTATATGCGATAGTTCGTATAAACGAATAAAATCGCAAGTGTTTCCTTCCTAATGCAATGTTCTGCGTGGCATATAGCCAGGAAAGTAGTTGTTTTTCTCTCGTTATCTACCATTGTCGTTCATTTTATGAACTAGTTGTGGTAATGACTTTGAGTTTCTCTCTTTGTGACCATTGCATTCCACTTTGAGTATTTGGCTTTTTCCCTAGTTGAAAATACGCCAGTCGGGCAACCAGCCACTCCCATTTCACCTGAAATGGGATTTTGTTTTGGAGTGTTTCTTTCCTTGCCAGGTGGCGTTCGGCGTTCGCGTTTTCATTTCGCAGACGTCGTACGCCTCGTATGGTATGAATGCTAAGATGCGTTTACGTTGGGTCAGGTTCGCACCAGATAGCGGTCAAGAAGCTATCTGGGACAGCCCTGTACTGATGAGAGCCAAGAGCTCGAAACCGGTCTACAGGTAGTCAGCGTTCCTGAACCACTTAAGCGCAGCTCAGCGTTTAGGAAGGAAACACTTGCGATTTTATTCGTTTATACGAACTATCGCATAGGTTTCGGGAGGATGTAATGCAAACGTTCTGCGTGGCATATAGCCAGGAAAGTAGTTCTTTTTCTCTCGTTATCTACCATTGTCGTTCATTTTATGAACTAGTTGTGGTAATGACTTTGAGTTTCTCTCTTTGTGACCATTGCATTCCACTTTGAGTATTTGGCTTCTTTCCCTAGTTGACTATTCTGAATGTTGGGTATTCTGTGATCTGGTGATGTATCTCCTTTCTCTCTAGGACAACAAAGACAACAGCTTCAAGAGCATCCCAGAAGGCCTCTGGTGGGCCATCGTCACCATGACCACCGTGGGCTACGGCGACATGGCCCCCAAGACGTACGCTGGCATGTTCGTAGGTGCCCTTTGCGCCCTTGCGGGAGTTTTGACCATAGCCCTGCCTGTGCCGGTCATCGTTTCGAATTTTTCGATGTTCTACTCTCACACGCAGGTGAGTCCGAAATGTAATAGAGAGGATAAGTTTTGTCTGTAGTAGTGCACCTAGGCCGCTATTGGATCACTCTAGAAACTCCTAGATAGTGATAGAGAGAGAAAGAGAGAGGGAGAGAGATGAAGAGAGAAACAGAGAGAGAGAGAAAAATAAAGAGAAAAAAAGAGAGAGAAAGAGAGACAGAGAGACAGAGAGACAGAGAGATGGAGAGATAGAGAGATAGAGAGATAGAGAGATAGAGAGATAGAGAGATAGAGAGGAAGTGAGAAAAAAAAAGAGAGAGAGAGAACGCAAGGAGCATTATTGAGATCAGCTGATGGTTATAACACACGCTGAAAGACATATTTATTCACTTCATAATCATTTCTATAGAAAAAGTATAAAGTTTCGTCTATAAAAGGTGTCTGTGAAAGGTTGAGAAATGGCTCATCTGTGAACTCCTGGGATAAAAACAAGTTGATTTAGGCCAACTTACCTATATCCAAAATCGTCTCGTTGGGTTGGTGCAAGACGTTGATGTTTTTTTTGAAAAAAATAATTTTGCTCATGAAAAGAGTTGGCTGAGATCGATTTCTATAATTTTTGGCATGGCATGTTCTGTGACTGAAAGTGACGTTATGAGATGTTTTCGATTATTATCAGTGACCTGCAAGTGTTTCAAACAACCATGTTGCCGTACAAATTTGGTGATAACTTTTCAGAGGTTAGACTGGAAACGTCCAGTTTTTTTTTTCAGAAAGATATTCCTTTCAGGAATATTTTCTGTTTTGTACAGTCTCGAGGTTCATTTGCGAATAAATAATTTCTGATCTGATGCATCCGGCGCATTTTTGAAAATTAATTCAATTAGTCGGACTGTATATTGATCATTTCTACAATGTATTCTTATTGTGGGAAAACTGATATGTTGCTGGTCCTCACGGGCTCACAAGAACTCTCGCGTTACAAATTTAGTGATAACTATTCAGGACCTAAGGTGAGAACTTCAACGCCTTGTACCAACTCAACGAAACGATTTTGGATACAGGTTAGTTGGCTGAAATCAACTGATTTCGATCCCAGGAGTCTACAGTCAAGCCATGTCCCTAACAGATTATTTTTCTAAAAAATGTGTAAGATGCCTCAGATCAGAAACTTCTTATTTGCAAATGCACCTCGAGAGTTATCAAAAATTAACACGATACAAAAGATATTTCTGAAGAGAATATCTTTCTGAAAAAAAAACTAGACGTTTCCAGTGTGACCTCTGAAAAGTTATCACCAAATTTGTACAGCAACATGGTTGTTCGAAACACTACTCGCAGGTCACTGATCATGATCAAAAACATCCCAAAACGTGACTCACAGTCACAGAACATGCTATGCCTAAAATTATGAAGATCGATCTCAGCATACTCTTTTTATGAGCAAAATAATTTTTTCCAAAAAAACTTCAACGCCTTGTACCTACTCGACGACAAGATTTTGAATATGGGTAAGTTGGCCAAAATCAACTTGTTTTTATCCCAGGAGTCTACAGCCTAGCCATGTCTCAACCTTTTACAGACACCCTGTATATATTCTCCCTATAAAGGGTCTATGATTTATCTTCATAGCATTATGAAGAAGAGGTATACCTCCGGTATCAAGTCAATATAGTTCTTTCTGTGAAAGGATCAGTGAGTTGTTAAAAATTATTGTTCTCCTGATACAATCTATATTTCTATATTCTATATGAATCAAAATGTATCTGCAAATGTATTGCTGAGCGTGACCAATCTAGATATATTTGTTAATAGTATTCCTCGAAGTTGAAAGAAGGTTCTTATCGAAAGAAATTAGAGAAATTGCCCGGAAACATATGAAAATGACTAATTCTCATTATAGACGGGATGAAACCCTATAGTGAGATTATGTTTATGTGTTCACATCATTTCACAATTCCCTGTTATGTTTTTTACAAGCAAATGTATGTACGTAAAATATGCAATTGAAAAACGTGATTTATCGGAAAATTACTTTTGAGTCAGTGCTCGCTCATCAACTTCATCAACGTTGTCATCAAACGATGAACCTGATGCATCATCCATATTTCAAAAAGTCATTATTCTTCGCCACTTGTATTTTCGTTGAGAATTTCATTTGCTGTAGTAGGATCGGCGTTGATCACATTCGTATCTAGGAGATCTTCATTCCGTGCTTCTATAAAATACATTGAATATCTCGAATAGCTGAGTTTGATTTCCTCTAATCGTGTTAGGTCATACATTTGTTCAACGACGGCAGATTTTGTTTTTTATTTTTGACATTTCAATGAGTTTCGGTTAGGAAACGCCTGAGCTTTATCTGTTGATCTGCGAAACAAAAATATGAATGAGTACATGAAATGTAAGATTTCGAAATATGGCCCCGGGTTCGATCTCCACCATGTCAAAAGCTGTCAGCGGGGGTTGCCTAAGATGTGTTTCAGAACCATTAGAGAATGAACTTCAAAAGTGATAATGATAAATAATACACAGAAGGTTCTAAATCAAAACATAGACTCATTTATTATTGGCAATGGATAACAATGAAATCAAAACCCTATATTTACAAATTAACTGATATTTCTGGGAGCCTGAGGGCGGGGAACTTCTGTTCTACCCGAACTCCGAAGGTTTGGTCACAGTGGCAACTTTTCAAACTTACTATTGATAGAACTCAAACATTCTTGACTTGTTCTCGAAAAAACCGGACTAGAACTCAAACTGGCACTCGAACTGTTACTCGAACTGTCGAGCTCGCTTCCTCAAGTCTTTTCAATAGTTGTCTATATTTTCGAAAACATGACAGTAAGGAAATCAGGTTAATAGTCCAGGTTCGTTGAATTCAATGTCACGCCTGTGTGTTAGTTCAACTACAATGAAAAAAAGGTCGTTCTTGATTCGAGAATTCTGGAATCAATAAACGAAGACATGGTGACTGTTGAATAACTTCGAACCTTCGAACTCCTTACGCAGTGGAGAGGTGGCTGGTGTTAGCCGGAGTCCTATGATTAGAGTCTTAGTTACCGAGTCTCATCTCCCTAAGCTAGGCTCCTTCATAATTAGTGATACCCGTGGTGAACCCAGTTGGGTTAGGGTTGAATGCAAACATTGGCATAAGTGGTAATTATCGTTATAGATAAGGGAAAATCAGAGTATCAAGCCAGAGTTCTATCTATGTGGCCATCGCCGCCTACATCAGAAATATCACTTATCGTTATTGGTTGGTTATTTGACATTTCGATCAGAAATAATGCTATATATGTGAACGAGAAAACTTCATGTGGAAAGAATATATATATGGAAATAGTGATTTCTGATTCTTATGTCAAATAAACTTGTTATTATTTGTCTCGGAGAATTGTATTATTTGATTGACTTACTCAAACAAATCCTATTTGGATCAAATAAATGGAATTCAAATAAACCCATATTCCCAATTGGAGGGGCTAGTGGAAGAAGGAGTTATGTTGCAAATATGAGTTTGTGAGAAAAATAGGTTTTAGTAAAGTTAGCTGGCATTTTTTAAATAATTTAATTCATGCAATTGTAAGGAATAGTCTTAGGTTGATTTTTGTTTGCATTTTGCTATCATATCATTAACTGATAGACATCTGGATTTATGCGTACATAACCCATTCTTCCATTTCCTGACATGTAGACAATGGGCACATACCTCCTTCTTTCATTGCGTTCTTGATGTTGATTGTAACATAGCCCCTTCTAACATTGTGTAACTGCTCAGATATGAAGAATAGAAACAAATCTCGACGGGACAAGTTGAATATGCACGTAACACCTTCTTCCATGAAATAACCGAATATTTTCAGAAAATGTTAGTTGACCCCTTCTTCCACTTGCCCCTTCAATTCCCAAAGCGACTTTCATCTGTGAATGGAATATCTACCGTTTTACACTCGTCGCACTGGTTCGAAGTTTTTCCGATGTCTGAGTGTGTTCTGTGTAGTCCAGTAGAAATATGAATATGTCAAAATGTCAAAATGATTCTTACTGACTTGCAAACTTTCTTGATGCAAATTCAGAATTCGAGTTTTATTTTGTTCTCATAATCTCGAGTGATCGGGTGGATTATATAAATTAATTTCATCCTAATGAACTTGATTCTTGAATTCGGATTCAAGTGTTCAATGAGAATTTATTGAAACACTTTGATGGTGAAACAACATTTATTAAATATTCAAATATACTCGAGAGTTTTCTGCAGTAGATTGAATTTGCATCAAAGATGTTTGGAATATATATTCGGAGTGGAAAATATTAAATTTACATAAAAAAACATCTCAGAGGAATTTACTTTTCAGTTGATGAGAGCGCGGCACCTGAAGTGATTTAATTCTGATTATCCTTGCTCTGTGTTGGAAAGACATTTTATGAATTGGCTAATGTGAAACGCTATGAAACAGAATATTACTTGAACATGCACCATTTTCTCAAAATTACCTAAGAATGGCCACAATGAACATTTTCGAGAATACTTTCCTCATCATAAGTATATGTAGACATATCATATGAGGATGAAGTTATTGGACAAAGCCCTAATGAAGAGTTAACCGTAGACACGTGTTTCGGAATTCCGGCCCTCATCAGTACGGTGAAAAAAGTGTGCGAATGAAAGGCAACACTTGGTTGAAGAAGAAACAACAAATCGACGGAGTCCACAAACAGAAGCCAGCCGCACATCTGGGGTTTCTGTCAGCATACCCTGCATTTTTGAGGGCCACAACTAATCCCAACATGGAGGCAGCTACCTGGGCTCGGATAACGCTTGTAGCTGGAGTTCCATCAAGTGTTGCTTATCTGCTGCACACTTTTTTCACCGTACTGATGAGGGACGAATGCCTGAAATACGTGTCTATGGTTAAATCTTGTTGGCTCAAAACATTTTCCTCAATAATTCTCCCATCGTTATATTATAGAGGTAGTTCAGATATATTCAACCTGGATATCTAGATTGATTTGGGTATTCTCTTATCGACTGTGACTTCGACGAAATATAAATTCGCTTTTATATTCGAATTTGATATTTCAGGCACGAGCCAAGTTGCCAAAACAACGGAGAAGTGTTTTACCTGTGGAACAACCAAGAAGAAAGAAAATAGAGCAAGGCACTAACAGGAGGATGAATGCTATTAAACATAATCCTGTGTTATTCAAGAATGCATTCGATGATAAGATAGGTGGGTGTTAAAAATAATTGTTTCTCGAGATTGCGACTATCATACTGGACTGTTATCGTCACATAACTCGGAGAAATCTACTGAGACAGCATTCAAATTGTGGACCTAGCCACCAATACAAGCTGTTGAAAAATGATCTGAGCCTTGTTGCTATTTGTCCAATGTTGATGAATTCAGAAGCAAATTCATTGATACTTCATTTTCACCTCCTCGATCTTGAGCTTTGTACGAAATTAATTTGCATTTTTAGGTGATCTTATCGCCACATAACTTGGAGAAACCTACTGAGACAACATCCAAATTCCAAAGCCTTGTTGCTATTTGTCCGACTTTGATGAATTCATAGGCGAATTCATTGCTAATTTATTTTTACCTCCTCGATCTGAAGAATTGTTCAAAATCAATTTGCATTTCTAGGTAATCTGAATGGAGTTAAGGTTGTTGGTTTGACACTGGAAGGACCGTCCATGCCAAGTATAGCAATTCTACATCATAACGGCCCATACAACATCAATTCGAAAGGTAAGTGCGTGCATCCCGCATATCTTCAATATTCACATGATAAGGTGGTTGCTGTTGAAAGTTTTGGTGAAAAAATAAGGTAGGAGTTCGGTCGTTGCTAATGATGGTTGAATGATTGATATTTGACGATTCTACAACTGGTCTGTATAGACGTTTCTTCAACATTTTCCTTCCACACAACTCATCGGATGGTATTATAACGATTACATCATTTTATGCAATTTCTTGATGTCATAGTGAGAGTATCCCTATTTCATATAATACCAATCATAACTGTTACATTTCCATTAAACAAAACTTTCATATCTTCATCGCAAGAGGCAGTATTGGAACTCTCTATTTCGCCACATTACGAATGCACAAATTCAGTTCCATCTGGAGTACCTAGATGTTGGTATGTCATCATTGCTGAAACATAAATGAGGTATTTAAGTTATGTCAATTAGTTCCTCCAACCCTTCATTTCCTCAGCTGTTTGGAAAAGTGAAGTCTACTTCAGCCAACATTGAACAGTTGCTCTTGATTTCAGTTTTATATTTTCACATCTGGAACTTATACCTACTGTGAAGTTGATGAGAGATTCTAGGGGGTGTAGTCTCCTGAAATTAGCAGGTTTTTCGATTTTGATCAATCAAATCATGTAATATATTCATACACTCTAACAGAAGGTTGTATCCGAATAGACAATGATCACAACGATTTTAGTCAAGCCACAGAGAGTCAGAAGTCACCGAACTTGAACAAATTTGGATTTTCGTTATAACTTTCTAACCTGTTCCAGCCGGAATACACGCTCAACATTTTATTGAACAAACTTGTCAGAGAATTAGCTCAAGATTTTATTTTATGTGGAAGTAATGAAACTATGTTCTTTATTGAAAGTACATCCTTGCCCCATAGAATGAATTATGGAGTGCCTCAAGTTACGGTGTTTGGGTCTCTTCTATTTATTTTCTATGAGCTACGCATTGGGTATTCACAGTACGTAGTAGGAGATCCTGAAGTTTGTGAAGAGTATTTGATTCCTAGATCAAGTACATGTAACTGAATTTGATTCTTTCGGCTTCAAGCTTTGAATTCTCTACCTTATCCGTGCGACAGATGCAAAAAATATGTCGCGGTTGGATGGTGTTGACACTATTATTGCAGAAGTGACTAGAGGTGCCCATATGCGACATATTTATTGTATCTGACTGTACTATGTAATTATACAGCGTGAGTTTGTATTTTCAGCATGACTTAAATTTTTTTTAATATGATCCATATCAATTTTGTTACAACACCACTGAAAATTCTGAAGATGACTTCGAGCATTCTTTCCTACCATTGAAAAATCTCACTCAACTTTGAGCAATATGGACTTCAACCAAAGATTTATCAGTATTATTATCACCTTGCAATTTGAAGAGTGTTCGTCTGTCTTGCTATTTTTTTCAATGTGTTATGAACTGTTTGTGAAAAACGGTTTACTTGAGTTTTCGAAATGGTTACCTCAACCTTAGTTTTATTGAACTTCGGTTGATCTAGAAATATCTTCCTCTAGAACTTGATTACGATGATGAAACTCCACATCTGAATTTTCCATGTGTTTCTCCATTCAATGACACATCATCGGTAATATCAACACCTTAGATTTCATACCAGGGTGAATCGAAAAAGCGGAAATTTTGAAATTTGCTATTGAATTACCAACACCCAATATGAGGTATATCGCGTTCAAATTCCTAATTCTGCTATGCCTGAATCGAATTGGCTAGTCCTTGTTTCGAGAAGCCCTAATAGTATTTTCCGATATTTGCACCCCTTCAGCGAAAAAATAGCCAATGAAAATCTGAATATTTTATATTTGTCCACATTTTCAAAGAGAGCTCGTTGAGTACTATATATTATAAAATTTCTGTTTGTTTTCGAAAATCGATCGACTGGTTCAAAATTAAGAGGCTCTTGCTGGTTTAAATCGCACACACTGTATGTTTTTATAAGATTTCCATCTCGAAAAAATATCTCCTTCAAGCTGTGAGTGTGGTGCTGCAAAACACTGACTCACCCTGTATATTAATATTTTTCAGTGAGCGTTGGTACACCAACTGTCGCCCCCTTACAACCGCGCCCCGCCACCATCGGCAGCGTGGACGTCCTCCCCCTCCAACCGAAGTACCTCCTCAACAGTGGCAGGGAGTACCGATCGGAACCGCGCGAGCTCCCCAAGAGCGAAGGCCAGCTCCACGTGCTGCGATCGTCCGACCAGTTCCCCTCCAACTTCTTCTCCGACAGGTATATCACTGCTACATACCTTTGCCAGGATAATCACACCACATTGGCCACGTTCATACCGTGTCTTGGTCGTCCTAGAGACGTCCCTATTTGGTCTGGATGCCCTATTTTTTATGTTGTGGTTCTCACGAAAAGGGATATCCTGTAATGTTCAGAGAACATCGTGAGAACCAAGGAAAATGGGTAGGAATTAGTGTTGTTCTCAAATTTCTGGAGGTTATATGCCTTATTGGGGAACACCTCTTTTGGCAAATGTGTTCTAGAACCTCGCTGTTCGTTGTATGAACGAGTCTTTGGAAAGACATGTTCTGTAGGTCTCCAAAGTGACCACGAAGGGGTGCGAAGCCTCAACTCGACGTGTTAATCTCGCGGGGACTGCCAAGGGATGAACCATTGTTGATATCTCACAAGAGCATCGTCCATGTGAATATCTATAAAATAGAGCCATCTCGCCAACTTTCCTACGGTGTTCCAGAGGAGCAAGTGAGTTTGTGAGCGGGGCGTCATCCAAGAGACGAATTGACTTTTTCTGAACAGAATCCAACAGTTTCAGGGTATGTTTGAGTGCTGTAATCCAAATATGGGAAGAGTATTCCAGGACAGGCCGGATCTGTGCCTTATAGATTATATACAGCTGACTAGAAGTTGAATAGCTCCTGGCATGAAACCAAAACCAAGTTTTTGGGATGCACTTTTAGCAATCTCACGTAATTTTTCCAAGAAAGATTATTGCTGATAGTGATACCAAGCATCGAAATGGATGTCTTCAAAGGTTACCTCTGACAAGCTTATGTTGGGCACAGTGAGATAGGCGTTACTAGAGAAAAAGGCATGCTTGTGTTTTGTATGCAGTGAAATCTACCAAGTTATTGGATCCCCATTCCAGAATTGTTGCCGAGTCCATATTCATGTTGTCAACATTTCTTCCTCGTTCGTTTCTGATTTGTCTGGCTGGTATTGGAGCCCTAGACATAAAATGAGTGTCCTTATAACGTCTTTCCTTGTACATCTCTTACAATATCCGAGCAGGAAGGTCCATGGAATATAGAACCTGGTTCCTAGGTGGTACATCATCTCAAATGTCCTAGAAATAGCATCTCCCAGACGTCCCACGTGGAACATATTATAGAATGTCTATGCAAGGCCGTCCTTGGCATGTTCCTGATGCTATATTATCCCAAACGTTTTTTAAGGACATCCATCGGATATTCCAAGTAGTAATTCTTGAATGACTCTAGATCTTATATAATGTTCCTTCTGAACAACCATGCCATGTCTCAGACGATGCATTCCTTCAAATATATTTGCACGGACGCTGTCAATTTATCCAGGATCGTATAACATCCATAATTCCATTGAGGGGCATCTGTCGAATGGCCCTCAGGGATATCCATCGGATGTCTCAATTGGTACATGAACTGTTATGACTTCGGAAGGAACACCTATGGATAATCCATGATTATGGTAATCTAAGTACAAATATATGCTCAGGGAAATTCAATTTCATATCATGTCATAGGTACAATGTCTCATGGACGTCCCAAAGACTTCCTCAGAATGTCCTGGATACGATATATTCTGAATGTGTTCCAAGTGACATCCATGGGTAGTATACATCAGTATTCCAGTTAGACATCCTATATTAATTTCTTTCACGCAAGCAAATGATCATTGTTTTCCAATGTCCCAGAAATAACGTCCTACGATCATCAATTTCAACTGAATATCCCCATCAGGTCTTGCATCTGGTCCTAGGGGGACTCAAAAAATTCAAATTCAAGGATTATTCGTATGTCCCTGGGATATCCTATGGACATCCAATCGATATCCCCCAGAGTTGCTGATAGGTTGTCTTACGAATGTCCAACGCATGTCCTCCGTAGTGCTTGATGAATAATATTGTAAATAATATTGTAGGATTTAGGTATTCGATAGTTGTCCCAGGGCCATTCCTTGGGGACGTCCATATTTGATCCTCAAGTCAGACATTTGTGCGTTCCGCAGACGTCCGATGGACGTTTGCGGTACCAATTCGAACGTCCTATGTTTGTCCTGAATGTCCCGACAGGACGTCCTAAGCATATCCATCTGACATATTTGTGCTATCATGGATATTCCAACTGAATACTGTTGGTCAGTGTGGAATGAACTGTCCAGTTGGTGAAGTTACCAGATTAATTTGGTACCGAAATTTGTTGCGTACCAGACAACATAGTATGATGACCAAGACGGTGTAAACACTTTGGTCTACTTTTGTACAGCCTTGACTTCAGTAGAGTGCAAGTTTCAGTTGTTTCATGATTCTGCAAAACAATATGTCATCCAATCACAGCTAATTTTGAATCTTGCCCAGAAGTTTTCTTAAATAATTTTGTATTGAATTGAAGTGCCACAATAACCTGACCTCGAAATAATAATCAAATCAAAATGAAGTTGGTGACCCTAATCGACTGAATATACATGGTGTAAACATGCGTTAACTGAGGTGTTTGGTTTGAATTTGGTCAGTTCACCTTGGTAAGCATACCAAATATCCATACGGTATGAACGTGGCCACTGTTTTACTACTAACCAAACCGATTTTGTGAAGATCTCGACACGCGTTTCGATATCTATATGTTAGCATCTTCAGGAGAAGATCGAAATTGAATGTCCAATTCTAGAATGATTCTCATACTATAGGTGTTCTGAATTCAATCCTCACCATTGGGCTCTTGGAAAATATAAGAGATACGAAGATGGTTGAATTTTGCATAAGTTGCGCTTTTACCTAACTATCAATATGCCACAACACACTGTTTTACCACTAACCAGAACGATCATTTTACATCTCGACACGTGTTTATTGCTGACTATGTTAGCATCTCAGAAGATTAAAACTGAATGTTATATTCTGTCCTAGTGTGTAGTGTGCTACTTATATACTATAGGTATATGTCCAACCAACTGTGGAAGACACTAACCACCAAGTTGATGTTAAGTTAACCTTGGTCTTATATCACTGAACTATACAGAGGGCTGACTGGGATAGGTCCATTATCCTTATGCATTATTCTATCACTATCCTAAAATATCTCTGAGCTTTCACATGCATCTAATTTGCCAACATTATCAACTTGCTTGATTATTTTGAGGTTATTAATATATGTGTTCGGCTACACACGATACATCTAGCCCTACCATATGACATATGTGCTTAGTATTCTTTGAACCGTATTTTTCTAGGACGCGTAATTTGGTCTATATATGTTTCATCACAATCATTTCAACTTGTTATTGTGATGATTGTGATTCAGAAACATTCTTAAAGATATGTTGTTAGTTAGGTGAGGGCGCAACTCGAGATTTTCTAGGGATTTATTCCTATCCTCTTGAAGAGTCGTGGAAATTCTGATAAGGGTTAACTTGAATTTATGTCTACGAGTTAGTTCACATACAGTGTGGAGACTTCAACTAGAATAGATTCGTTAACAGTTAGGTGAATATTTTTTAAAAAAGCTCCACCCTGTATACTATTTTCATATCATAACCATTGACACCAGCCGAAAGTATGAACACCACTTTCCTGAAAATTATTTTATTGTAAATTTCAACTTGCCAGTTTGTGTTTAAACAGTGATTGGAGTCATTATTTATGTTTTTAATCATAATGCATCTTCCCAATCGGCACCTTTACGTTGGAAAAACATTAAGAATTGATCATGTGCCCAACCGTTAAAAAATCGATTGAAATGTTGTGGCCACTATCGTTCTTTCTGTCAGAAAGTAATGATATGTTATCGAAACTTACTCAGATAACGTTCTTATTGGAAACGTTGAAAAATCTACTTGTACCATATTTTTCACCTATTCAACGTTTCAACGTTGAATTGACGTACATGTGCCCATCGGGAAGTGCCCTGATTATGTATCTGATAGCGAATTCCATTGGAAGGTGGAGTGTTTCTTCACTCAATGTATATGTTTTCTTCTCACTCGCATGTGTTGAACTGAGGTAAATATATACTCAGTGAAGGAACACTCCAGCAGCTTCTGCCAATGGAATTCCCTAAAGGTTTGTTTGTGTTCCATATTGTTGAAACGGTCCTTGGACTGCACAGAATTAGGTGCGCCTCAAATCCAATTAGACACAAGTCTGGGATAGTTTTGCAACCAGATAAACGATAAAGAAGTTTTCTTGTTTCCTCATCTATTTTCTCGAAAATATGTTGTGTCTCAACTAAATCGAATCAAAGACCTGAACTACTGAAACACTTCTCTTTTTAAATATTGATACATTTATACATACCGGGTGGCTACGGAAGTATTGCCTACGAAATATCTCAGTTATTGTATGAAGTAGGTTCGTGAAATCCGGAGCGTCGAAGTTAACTTCCGGTATGACCGGAAGTAACATCAATTTCCTTATTTTCAATGAAAACCCTATTTTTTTTCTGTTCGCTTTATTCAGCATTCAATTCTCTTTCTAATGACATATCACAAGTTGGTATCTAACCAGAAACTAGATCAGAAAAAAATTATTGAAATTCACCGAGTAGAATAATAATTGGATTTTTTGGTATTTCATTTCAAAAAATTACTTTCTATTATATCATTAGAAAGGAATGGTTATGCTGAATAGTACAGGCAAGAAAAAGTTGTATGTTCCTATTTAAGTTATGGACCTACAGAGTATTGTTTTTTTCCCAATTTTTCCAATATTTTTTTGGCGGCATTTTATAAAGCCGACGAATGAAAATAAAATATCACAGTAGTAGCAACTGTTATCAAGTGATGTATGGTTTCCATAGCCAACTTTTCAATTTTTGGCTTTCATTTTGCTTTCACGGCCTACTCGGTGAATTTCAATAATAATTGATTGTGATATGTCATTAGAAAGGGAATTGAATGGTGAATTAAGCGAAAAGAAAAAAAAAGGGTTTCTATTTGAAATAAGAAAGTTGATGTTACTTCCGGTCAGACCGGAAGTTAACTTCGACATGTCAATATGCTCAAATTCTAGCTCTTATGTCATTATATCGACACTTCAAATTTCACAAACCTACTTCATACAATAACTGAGATATTCCGTAGGCAATTAATACTTCCGTAGCTACCCGGTATATCAAAAATGATCCTTCAATTCTTAATCTGAGCACAGATTCATTCGAAACTTGAAGATAGGACGATAAGCTGAAACTCATGAGCCCACTGTTTATGATTTTGGTAAATTTTTTACAATAGTTCTATTCTTCATATTGTTCAGAGTGTATCTCTCAACTTAAAAATCTGTTGCATAAACGAATAGCCATTCAAAAGTATTCAGATTCAGATTATTGCCCAGAGGCTCTGCTTTGAACCTATTTGAAACTATCCCAAACTAGTTCGTTCGAAATGAGAACACGTGATCTGTGGAATACGAAACAGTCCTGAGAAAACGCGAACAATTCGTTGTTACTGCGCATGCTTCTGATGGTTTCGGACTGTTGATTTTGTGAACGCGAACAAACCATATGAGTCAAAAGGAAGAAGGAAAGCTCAAAGTCATCTACACTACTTCATTACTGATGTAAGTCAATCAAAGGGACATGTTTCTGAAGCATGTCTCTCTGATTGATTTAGATCAGCCCATATTGCACTCGACGTCCTGGGGACATCCAGTTTAGGTCCCATTCAGGTCTGAACGTCCGGGACCATTTCAAGACGTACTGAAAACGTCCATTTCTGAACGTACTGGGTACGTACGATTCCGATGTAATGGGTACGCCCAACTCTGGACGTTATCGACTTTATGTCTACCCTCGATCTCTGAAATCTATTCATATAGGATGAACCTTGCAAACATGAACAAATTACAATGCTCACAATAAATTCATTATTTACTGGCCCCACCAGATCACAAAACATCTATTCAGGTATTCTCTGCCATGATTATCTAATTCTATGAAAGTATCGATGTGCTGAGTCAATCGGCATTCGCACATAATATTGCTTGTTGTATACTGTTAATCAACAAGTGTTCTTCAGAGTAATAGGTTGAGCATCTGCCTGGTGATCTAAAGGTAGAAGCGTTTTTTTTTTAAATTTTTTTCATTCAAAGTGAGACTTTTTACTTTATCTAAATCTCTTTTTTGACTACCTGAGTGAAAAGAGGCGGATCTACGTTGATTCATGTATCCATGGTCCTGAATAGACGTACAAACGCGCGGAATCTGGACGTCCCCAGCAGTACGTACCTAAACGTCGACTGTACCAAATCTGGACGTCCCCAGTACGTACGAAACGTCTTGGCCGGACGTTCTCAGTACGTTTTCGGGACGTACTCGTGCTATATGGGAGTATTGAAGTAGTAGAGATGACTTTGAGCTTTCCTTCTTTCTTTTGAAAAATTCCACTCCACTTTGAGCGAACATGGACTTCTACCAGAGATTAAACCGTATAAGTGTTCTCCGACAGGAGTTCTGTCAACCTGACTGGAGCGGGTATAAGCCTGGCCAGCGTGCCGGCCATGGCTATTGGCAGTTCCACCGAGGTGTTGGTCAGTATCGTCGAGAATCAGGTCAAGTTGAGGAGGAGTTCCATGATGGATGTCAGTTTCAAGGGCGAGGACGCGAGGGATGGGAGGAGGTCTCCGGATTTGGAGGACTTGAAGTCGCCCAGTACGGAGTTTACTACTTCTACGTTGCAGAGTACTCCTGTTGAAGATTGTAATGTTAAGATTAGCGATAGTGCCAAAAATTGTGATATTTGTGAGAAATCAGAATTGGAAACGTATACTATCTGAGGTGCTTTATGGAATTATTAACTACGTATAGTTGAAAGATAAGATGCTTTTTTAAAATATAAAAAATACTCTATGTTCAAGAAATATTGACCACCAAGTTTGTTTCTCTCTCATGTGATGGAGCAGTTTCTGAAAACTGTTGTAAACTCCATTCGATTCAATCTATGCGTTATCAGACTGTTTCAAGAATGATTTGATTTTCCATAGAGGTGTTGGTTCTCAACGTGGATAATTAATCCGAATTGGGGAGTAGTTTCGAGGGAGAGAACGCAAGAAATTGCAAGAGGTTTTCAGATTAGAATGGAATGGAAGAGCAAGTTCTGATTACGTCACTCTCACTGGTGAAATGATCTGAACTTGAATTCTGCCGTTTGATAGGTATACAGTTCTCAGCTCTCTATCATTCTTCATTTATTTTGTATTCACCTATACCTGTCAATAAAATGCATTATTATTATTATTATTATTATTATTTTGGAGTTTCGAATTCGTCTAGCACCTAGTTTATCAGTTACTTTTGCACTTTGAACTACTCCTCTCATACCTTCAGCATTAACTCATTCTTACTCAGGTTGCTTCGAAAACTTGGTGACTGAAGAAATTTTCGTCAGATATTTCCAATGTTCAGCAAACACTTATTCCCATGTTTGCTGCATTCGCATTTTAGGAATTTTTTCAGAGCCGCTAATGAATATAATTTGATATTCTTCCATCTGTGGATGGGTTGAGTGTTTCAAGTATCATTGAACGTTCATCATTCAAAGAAAAAAGGTCTCTGGATCAGGATTTGCTGAATCCGGAGTTCTTACATGTTGCAGAGGACACCCATAGAGGATTGAAGAGTGAAAATCATAATATTATCATTTTAAAATTTGCCATATGATACGTGAATGGTTTCGTGAATTGATTGTAGATGTATAATACAATATGCATAAATCTCTGGATGACTGGAGTTTCTCAGGTATTATTTGTCGGTCTAGTGAGTTTATGTTGAGCATCGTACATGGACAATCGAGTTCGGAAAGAATTCCATGATAGACGTCAGTTTCAAGTGTCAAGACGCAAATGAGGATGGAAAGTGGTTTCCTGATTTTAAATAGTTGAGGTCGTCGAGTTCGGAGTTTCAACTTCATAATTGAGAAGTATGCACCCGTGTTGGAGATTGTAATAACGTGAAAATAAACGATAGTATCTAACAAAAGTTGCCATTTAGGTTGAAAACCCGGATAGCTTTCATCTGACTTGTTTTTGTGGAACTGAAAGCTACATACAGGGTGACTCAAAAGTGAGCGGCATCCTTCCGAAGGCGCATTCCTTCTGACTCTGAATTCAAAATCTCAACATTTTCTTCAGAGGCGTCACATGCGGGGGAGGGTGAGTGTAAGAACATTCCTTCTTCTTTCAAGAATTATGAAATTCTAGAATTTTTCTAGAATGAAGTTTCATATTTTCACAATGCTGAGTGATCCTAGTAAGATTAGCGATAGTGAGGGAAATTGTGAAATTCCATAAACAATCAGGAACGGGAATACCATCTGAGTTTGCTTTCCATATTTGATGATTATGGTGAAGTAGATATTGTTATGTTCAAGGAATATTTTGTCGTCACCAAGGTTGATTCCTCTATGTGTATCTATGTGTAATGAAATGATTTTGTGAATATATTGTGGATTCAACTCAAAAGGCTCACCTGAGAATGATATCTAAGTATAGTTGATTTCATCGATTCGATTGTTATTTCACGTTCTACGGAGATGCAGGTCAGTAATGCTACGAATCGAGTCAACTTGAAGAATTGCTTAATGTTTCAAAGCAGTCCCAGATAATTTTCGAGGTAAAAACAAATGATTTCAGGACTCCTAGTGCGGCTTGGCTACGTATTATCTGATTTATATGGCATGAAGCAATCAAAGAAAATGAAGCAGCCGATCGCTTCGCAGAAAAGGTGCAGAGTTGCACCTATGGCAGAGCTCATTGAATGGAGAGAGATCGAAAAGTCCTCCCATCTGGAGAGCAACTCCGGGTTAACGACATGCAAGAAGGTTCATCAACCATTCGCAAAACCGAGCCGAAGAGATACTCAGCCTCAGCAAACCAGAGTTAAAATTTATCATAGGCTCTTCCACAAGACACTGCCCTCTGAGGTACCCCCTCAAAAATATATGGGTTTATCAAGTCTATCGGAGGCTGACACTTGCCGCTTTTGCAACAACGCGATCGAAACCGCGAAACACAAAATTGGCATGCAATACTTGTGCAGTTTTTTATATCATTAAAAAAATATATGAAGAACCATAACATTTGGTACTGTAGAATATCCCAAAATTGATGATGAATTGACTGGAATTCTGGAGTACCGCTGTTTTCTGGGTGAATCTGTTTCATATGATACACCACCATGTTATTCCTTCATCATTTAAATAGAACTCCCACATTTCCTATTTCAAATACTCAAATAGGACGTCACCATTATGCGAGTGGTTTTTTCTTCACCTTCGGTTTCGCCGGAAGTGATTTGACTTCTTGATTTCGAAATTGATCAGAAATGGGATTCATTTGGAGTATTTCTTTTCTTCTCCTCAGGTGGCGTTGGTATCCATCTCGCAGATGCCGAACGCCTCGTGGGTATTAAATGCTGGGATGGCGGTAAAGATTGCTATATCTGGAGACACCGCAGCACTGACCAGATTCCAAATTGGGCAGAGCTAAGCATTTGGGGTAAAATTACTTACAGCTCTATTCGTCTTCACGAATCGTTGCATAGATATCAGGAGAATGTAATTCGAATTTCTTCGTCGCTGAAAGCCAGGAAAGTAGTTGTTTTTCTCTCGTTATCTACCATTCTCGTTGTTTTCATGAACTGATATGGTGATGATCTTGAATTTCTCTTTCTTTGTGATCATTTGAAAGTATTCATGTTTCCTACATAAGGAATGGGATCGCAATAATCGGAATCATATGGAACATTGTGTTCGAAAGGAAGTAAATATTCTATTCCCATGGGCCAAGAGTGCAATATAATTGAAACATATTCTGCTTGAGAATTCCAATTTTTGAAATAACCCAGATATCGCTATGACTGCACAGTTATTTTATAATTTTAGTAGAACAAAAAGAAACTCATACCATGTTGAAAGATATGAATAAATTATCTATGTGGTTGATTAGTCAGGAGAGTATTTGTGATAATAACATAGGTACTTAATGAAGTTCAGCGATGATGTTGTAAATGCTTGAAACATTCGATTAATTCATGGATATAAATATCTTTCTATGAAAAATCATTTTTGTGAATGTTTATATTCCTTACATAGTTGGTGATATACTTCATGAATGTTGATACTTTAACATACAGTGAATTTGTGAATTATACCACTGCTCTTAAATCCTGATGAAGGATTGTGGTAGATAGATGAAGCAAAATCTACATCGTGCGTATCACGCGATTCTAAACAATTGATGAATTTGAGTCAGAATTAGTGATGAAAGGGTATATGTGAGTATAATGCACCCATACCATCCTTGTCCCAATTGGCCACCATATATTTCTCCCAAGTCTATGTGATCTAGCTACCTGCCAAACCAACGAACTGCAGAATTACGCTAGGACGAAAAATGTGAGAGGAACGTCACAGAAACGTCACGAAAACGTTATCATTTCGACACTTTTCGACGCATGCTTTCGTGACGTGCTATTTGCGTTCTATCAACGCTTTAGTTTCGGTAATTAGGTGTCGATTTCATGATGGAGTAGAGCAGGGAGGGACTTATGATGCCTATTATACAAGCACCTCAGATTGGTAGCGAATTCCATTAAAAGGAACTGGTGGAGTGTTTCTGCACCCAATGTGTTTTCTTCTTACTCACATATATTATGTCAAACAGATGTAAATATCATACACTCAGTGGAAAATTACTAGTTCCTGCCAATGGAATTCGCTTCAAAATCAATCCTTGCTATACTTGCACGAAATCTGTGGAGTCATGACGTTTTCTGTATATGTGTATGCGGTTTGTTTGAAGTGGTTTCGGACAGATGGCACCATAATACGAATTTCAGAATAGATGGGACGACGTTTATCAGTTATAGAGTGACGCTATATCAATTAACAACCAATATTTGACATCTTATCTGAGCATGTTCCATGAGGGTTATTGAAGATTTGATATTTCTTAGCTATCATTCAGTTGAAGTTATGTGAATAGTACCTGCAAGCATGAAATACTTGATATTCACGCATTCTGATGACATATATTTCTCAATGAGTTTTCAGATGAACGCTACAGGGCAATGAGCATCAGCAGTAGAGTATTCCGTCAAAAATTATTTTAGAAAAAATAGTGCCGAATGTATGGTACTATTATTGAACCTAAATCCTGTTATAATTGTTCTTTACGATAAATAAACACTTCACGACCGTATACTGTATATTTTGATATACGTAAGCAATGCACGAGTAGTGTAGTTGAAACATGCATTGAACAGGGTAAAACCAATTTTGTACCCCAGGACCAATGTAGAATTTTACTAATAGATAGTTAATCAATCTTTTGACATGATACTAATTTGACATATCAAGTCTAGTATTCCAGGAGGTGCATTTCTTTCTGAACAGATAACTGAATTGTGATGTGATGATTATTTTATGACCTATATGCAATTTCAAACAATCAATTTGTGCTGTTAGAAGATCAGAAAAATTATATCATATTCTGTTTGGTGGCAAAGCACTTCCTTAAAATTATGAGTTGTTAGTTGTTGCTAATTTTTGCATTCGAGGATCCTCAGGTTTAGTTTCCATTATTCAGCATTGTTCAATTCGAAAAATACGATTGTTATGTTATTATAGCCAAATGAGTACAATAATTCCGATTTTGTCACACATTTGTCACCGTGTTGTTGTGTCTGTCTATTATCCTCTGTTTGGCCATTGTAGAATATCGATTTATGGAAGGAAATCAATGTAGTGAATTGCTGGAAGACCAATAAACATATTTTT